GCAATGTTCAAGATGAAGAGGCACTATCAAAGTTACTCCATTTCACTGCTACACACAGTAACACCTTGGCTTTCAGGAGCACAATTACATATTGAGATATGAAACGTGTTTCATATCTTCTCTTAAAGACCCTCAAGGCAGGGGAGAGCACCACCTCCGTTGGCAGCCCAGTCCAAGTTTTGGCCACCCTCACCATGAAGAAGTTTTTCCTGATGTCCAGCCTAAATCTGCTCGCTGTCAGTTTGTGACCATTGTTCCTTGTTACCCCAAGAGGTGCCCTGGTGAACAGAGCATCTCCGCTCCCTTGCTGCCCCCCTAATGAATTTGTAGGCAGCCACAAGGTCACCTCTTGGCCTTCTCTTGTAGAGGCTGAAGAGGTCCAGGTCCCTTAGCCTCTCCTCATAGTGCTTGTCCTGTAAGCCCCTGACCATGAGTAGCCCTCCTCTGGACCCTCTCGAGTCTATCAACATACTTCTTAAAGTGCGGTGCCCAAAACTGGACGCAGTACTCCAACTGCGGTCTGACACACGCCACAGAGGGGAAGCATCACCTCCTTGAATCTATTCGTCACGCACCTGTCGACGCATGATAAAGCGCGGTTAGCTTTGCTGATGATTTCGTCTCACTGACTACTCGTGTTCATCTTGGAGTCCACTATGACTCTGAGATCCCTTTCCGCTTCTGTGCTGCTGAGTCACTCCCAGCCAGTGGGTGTGCTGGATATTTTTACACCCTAGGTGCAGCACTCTGCACTTGTCCTGTTATACTGCATCCTGTGGTGTTTTGCCCACTTTTCTAACCTGTCCAGGTTTGCCTGCAATCGTTCCCTACCCTCTGGAGTGTGCACTTCACCCCACAATTTAGTATCGTCCACAAACTTGGACAGAGTACACATCACACCCACATCCAAGTCACTGCTGAAGACATTGAAGAGTACAGGTGCAAGGACCGAGCCCTGTGGGACCCCACTACCCACATCCTTCCAGGTCCATACTGACCTGTCTACTATCACTCCCTGGATGCAACCCCAAGCCAATTTGCCGCCCACCGGACCATGTAAGCATCTAAGTCACAGCCTCTTAATTTATTTATGAGAATGGGATGAGATACTGTATCAAAGGCCTTGCTAAAATCTAAGAAAACGACATCCACGTCTAAGAAAATGACATCTCCTTCCTGTCTGTTACGCTACCTTGATCACGGCTGGTCATACCAATAGTTAGAGGAGAGATATGGAACAGGAGCCAGGCAGCTAATGCTCCAAAACAAACCTGCCCAGTAACCTGAAGACCATTGCCCCCACCTGGGCTCAAATAGGGGCCCTGCTGTCCCTCCGACCTAGACAATCAGGAGGCACACAGGTGTGGCTAGCTTGATGCACCCCAGCTAGCTAAATGGCCAGGGTGGGGCTGCCTGTTATAGCTTCTGATGCTACCTACCCACAAAAAATACTTTCATTAGTATATCTCCTGTTACAATCAGGTCAAAGGGTTAGAGAAGTCATTCATAAATTTGTTGAAAGTTAGATCTTTGTTACCCAGCAGGAGGAAACTGCAGGAGGCCCGAGAGCAATTCTCAAACCTACCAGGTGGTGGTGAGCAGAATCAGCTACATCAGTACTACTGTTACTGAAAAGTTTCCCATACATTTAATAACTGGCCCTTTGACAACTGAATTCTTCCCCCCAGCGGTGGGAAGAAGACAGAAGATAAAAGCAAGTGGAAGTCTGAATGATTATAAAGTTTTACAGCTATATAATAGCCCCAGTTTTAGCATGCATCTTCTTATTACTCATCAAAGATAAAAGATCAGACAACTATAACATACACGTTATTTTGCGGGCAATATGGATACAACTATTTCCATGTAAATAGCTGCTACACAAGTCAGTCAGTCAGTCAGGGCATATGTACACCACAAATGAGATAAAGACAGGTTAGTTCTTTAGTCATGTAGTAGTAGTACTTATACTGCACTTCTACTGATACCCAAGTACTTATCTGACTCCCATTACTGTAGTATCTGAACACCTTCATCTGAAGTTTATTTGTTCTCACATCTGTCAGAGGGAGGGAAATGCTATTATCCTCAAATTCTGCAGAGAGGGAACCAAGGCACACTACAACTTTAGGGGGGAACAGGGAGTTTTAACACTTCTAGACTAGCTCCCTAAAATCTGGACCATCTTGGCTAAGTACAGACCGCCAAGAAGCCCAAGGCTGAATTGATTCAGTCTTACAGATTAGTTTAAGTCGCAAGTGATTAAACTGAGAAGCAAGTGACAAACATTCACGTTGGATTTAAGAAATGCAGCCACATGCCTACAGTGGCTCAGGCCAAGTGCCAAGGCTGCTAGGGCATGCCTGCCAGCCACTGCCAAAGGGCAGGGACTGGAGGCTTTTCCCCACTCCCTGCTCAAGTGGAGGGGGCATAGCCAGGCTGAGGCCAGGGGGAAGGCCCCCCACCAGTGGCAACATGTAGGGGGTACACGTGCACTCCGAGAGCACTGGTGCACCCCCTGAGAGCCAGCGATCACACCGACTAGGGAGGGGTTCCCCTGAAGCCAATTGCACCGGGGTCCTGGTCGACCCTCCCCTCCTGGTTGCTGACTGGCTGCTA